TCTCTCTCCCCCTCCCTCCTCTCTCTCTCTCTCTCCCCCCTCCCTCCTTCTCCTCTCTCTCTCCCCCTCCCTCTCTCTCTCTCTCTCTCTCTCCCCTCCCTCTCTCTCTCTCTCTCTCTCCCCCTCCCTCTCTCTCTCTCTCTCTCTCTCCCCTCCCTCTCTCTCTCTCTCTCTCTCTCCCCTCCCTCTCTCTCTCTCTCTCTCTCTCCCCCTCTCTCTCTCTCTCTCTCTCTCTCCCCCTCCCTCTCTCTCTCTCTCTCTCTCCCCCTCCCTCTCTCTCTCTCCTCCCTCCTTCCCTTCCCCTTCCCTTCCCCTTCCCTTCCCTTCCCTTGCAAAGGTAAATTTGGATTGGTTATTAAGTTGTGTCCAATGATTTGTTAATGAGGGTTGTATTTCATTTTTTAAGATTCCTTGTAATATTAGCATTGTTTAATAATGCTGATTCATACTTGTTGAAAGGATTGGGAAACAAGGTGTAGCCATAGGGTTATTGAAAGTCGCTTAGTCCTGCATGTTACCCTTTCACTAAATTTGATATTATTCTGTTCCTCTTGCAAATAAGATCATTACTATTACTGTTGCTGGCTTGATATGGTTACAAGCTAAAAAAAAAATAAATCATGTATAATTTACATTGTAACAGGAGAGTTGCACAATGACTCCCATGGTGCCTGACTGTGGGGTGCTGACAACTCCCCGGCGATCTCCACCAATCAAACTCTTGGATGAGGAAGAACCCATCAAGAAGTCTCCAATGTCTGCTAGCTTTGCTGCAGTCTCTCCACCAAGGTCCACTGAAGCCACTGGAGTCACTCTGAGTAATGGTGCGTGCTACTGGGTTAGATGTGATATTCTTAGCATTTAACTCCAGACATTGTTGAAAAGGAAAACTTTAATATGTAATATCTGTTTGGGATTGATTGGATATAAGTAATTTAGTTTCAATTGCATTTCAAGAGACCACTCTCTTCTTTTGCATTGTTTGAATACTTATATTGAAGAGCCTTATTACTAATAGCTATTTATTACGTCATTAGATTAACATATTGCATTTTTCCACCTAACAGGGTTCAGTTTCAGTTTCTACAAATCTCCTAAAAATGTGACAAGTCCCTACAGACGAGTTGAATCTTTGCCAGTGCAAAGTCCAAGAGTTCAAAAGTCACGTAAAGATGGTATAAACAAAGGAGTTGGACACAAGATAAAGAAGCCTAAAATGAAAGCAAAAGCAAAAGAACAGGTAAGAAAGTTTCCTTACGTACTGCGAAGGTATGAGGTTTAATTTTATTTTTTATTGTGTGATTAAAGCAGAGTAGTTTTATTTCTATTAAGTATATGTTTGGGTATGTATATAGTTTGATAACTTTCAGATGTAGATCTTTTTTGTGTGTTTGTGGTATATATATATATTTGTTGGTTGTATGTGTTTTATATATATGTTTATATATATATATATTATATATATATATATATATATATATATATTATATATATATATATATATATATATATATATATATATATATAATCCCCTTTCAAATATAGTAATCTCATGTCCATTTTAATAGTATGCTTGATAAAGGGAGTTGTGAGATTTTACTCTTTATGACTGCAGTTGTGATTATGATATAATGTTTTGTAAATCCCCTCAGAAAAAGAGAGATGTAAAGACAGTTGCAAAGAGGTTGAAGGAGGGAAAATTCACACCAAGGCTCCCCTCAGACCGCAGTCCAGTGAAAACTCCTACGCCCCTAGAAAGGTGAGTTGTCTTGACGGTAATTACATGAAGTTTTTAATAACTCTGTTTTTAATTACTTCTTATTCATCTCTCTCTTGCATTTTTTCGTCTTTAATAATTTTCTAAAAAGTTGCCAGAAAAGGATATGTAAAAGGACTCCCTCTGACAATTAAAGAATGATAGAGATACAGAATCTGGCATACTTTTACTCGTGAGTTTGTGGTCTTTTTGTTGTTGATACAGACAGATATTTTATAAATATTTATTTTTGATGATTGTAGGTTTGCATAAATGTATGTGAAACTGCATAAAAGTAAATAAATTATGACTCTTTCGTTGTTGATACAAATACAAATGTAGATATTTTACAAATATTTATTTTTGATAATTGTAGGTTTCCATAATTGTAAGTGAAGCTGCATAGAAGGAAACATATTGAAAATTAAGGGTACTTTAAAAGTTCAGAAGTATATGCATATACTATATTATCATCTTGAGGGAACTGTTGTTTTATGTTCAGATATGTACTGCAGTATCTTCTAAATAGCTGAAAGAAAAATGCTAAACAGATCATCTTTGGAGTACTGATAGATGTTAATATTCACTAGAATAAGAGGAGATTGGGATAGTTGGAGAGTTGGAGGATTCATTTTATTTAATGTTTCGGGTCCACAGAAGAAACGTCATGTGCTCTCGTCCCCTGGCATGTCTTTCCTGGAAGATGAGGTAAGCAAAACAAAAAGTGGTTATTAGTGTTTATATTTGCTTAAAAGTTGTTGATGCACAGGAATATTGATGATTTTTTCAAATGAAAACTTGTTTCCAAATAAAAATGGGATTGCTTTATTATAGCTTAAACTAGGATGAAGAGGTGAGAGTTTTCCTTCAGATTTGTGGTAAATCTGTAATTCTATATTAAATATATATATGGAGATAAATAGATGGATGAGTATATATATATACAGATATAACTTATACACTTCTGGCAGTTCTTTTGATTTACTTTCACATGGTTGATGCACATATTTTCATGATTATAAAAGTATGATCTGAACTAATCCAGTTTATGGAGTCAGTGTAGATACAAAAGTATGAAAAGTAGTTCATGGATATTAATTTGGGTTTCTTTGATTTGATAATGTCATTCTCAAACATTTTAGGATGCTGGTTTCAATCTCATGGAGCCAAGTAGCAGCAAGAAGTTTTTCACCAGCCGATCTAGAGCTGCAGCCACAGTGCAGCTAGGCAAAAACATTAAGTAAGATTTGTGTAATTCATTTTATTTGCTTATCATTGTATCAAGAATTCTTTCTTTTTACATAAACATAACCATTTAGATATTTTGTGGACAAATTTCACTACTTGCAGGCTAAAGTATGATCAGGAAGTAACAAGATTTAAAGTTTTGACACTTGCTATAGTTCATATTTATATTAATATGTACATAACAGATGCATTACCATCATCAAAAGCTCTCATGTAATTTAATTTGTTTTAAGGTTTAACATTTTTTCCTCTAGTTAATATTTTTTTTACATAATTTGGGATATAAGAATATCTGGATTCAGAGTATAAATGTTACATTAATGACTTTATTTCAACAGGTTGTCTGCCAAAAATGGTGATATCACCTTGAAACAGCGTGTTGGAACATTTGAGAAGAAAAATGTTGGGCGCATTGTTGAAGATGAACTAAATCAGTTTATTGGTCAGTCTGAGACTCAGAGGTAAGTACTTTGATGCTGTAATGCTTGTAGTTATCATGGTCAAAATTTTAGTCATATAGATGTTAACAATTTTTGAATACTAGCACTGTATCCTTAATCATTGGTTATAATTCTCTGAATCAACTTGAAAGGGAAGTGATGAAAGTAACATGACACCCATAATAAATGGGAAGGTACCAACTGGATTTTGGTACTTATTGTTTCATGATTATATGCAGTTGGCTTATGCTGTGAATTATCTTTAAAACCTGACTACTGAATTAAAACATTAAAAAGAACAAACATTAGAATAGTATTTATAGGCCAACAAGATTGGCAGGAGAGGAGAAAATAAAAGGAAGGAGGGTTAATGGCTTTGTATACTCACTTTTCCTAAGTATTGTATTTAATTCCACCATCAATTAAATTTTTCAGTCTGATCAAGTGGCATTGCTACCATCAGTACAGTCCACCAATAGGCCAGTCCCAACCAGAGTTCCCAGCACCCTTCCCCAAAAAAAGAGAGTAAGCCCCCGAAAAAGAGCCAGAACTCCATCTCCAAGAAAACGCACAGAGAAGAATGGCTCGCAGACAGATTTGAATGTGTCTACAAATTCAGAATTGCAGGACATGGAGTCGATCCTCCGGGAGTGGGATGAAAATCAGGAAAATTCAGGGCAGGAACAGGTATTTTGTCCTTTTTGAAAGAAGTACTTTTTGTGCATGCATTTTTAGTTCTTAGCATTAACCCGTTTTGTATGGTGACACTGATGCTGGTGTCATGAAGTGCCAGTGAAATATATCTTCACACACACTTTAGCATCATAATTCCATTTGATTTTGGTTGTTGCTGAGTGGTCCAATATTCTGTGTACTGAATCTATTTTTAGACTATATTGACCTAGAGAATCTGTAGCTCCACCCACTATCCCTATTTCCACCAATCATGTACATCAGCTAAATATACCCTATACCCCACCCCGTACCCACAATGAGGAACTATCATTGGAGATTCTACATCGCAGTTTTCCCCTCTGTTGTCTGTTGTCCTCCATATCCCCCTATTCCTTTACCTCAACCCACATTCCTCTACCAGGGATTGGAGACTGTAATGGGGGGGTACACTTCCCTCCTCCTTGGTTCATTCCTTGTCCTCATACCCCCACCCCTCACTTTCATTTCTCAAACATTTTACACCAAATATCTTTTAACAATTTCATATTTGACAATCTTTGCATCTGTCTCTCACTTTCTCTCTTGCACACATGCGTGCAGGCGCTGGTGTGTGCGAGATGGGGAAGAGAAAGAGGCAGAAATTGTATTAGAGACGAGACATTCAGGGCAACACCAACATTTACTTCTCACTGGCAATAGACCTTTACACAAGCAACGCACACATTTTAAACCAATTGGGCGAACTTTTTTTTTTTTTTTTTTTTTTTTTGTAAGATAAATTTATATAGCTTTTATGGTTTAGATTATTTTTACGAGTGCTGTTTTAGAAGAAGCTGAGGAGTTATGGGGGGAAAATAAAGGAAGACAATTTTATCTTGAAACAAAGTAAAAGACATCTAATCAGTAATTACAATTAAAATATCTATAATTTTTGTAATCTTTATCATCATTATCTTCTTATAGGATGCTCTTCAAAATTATTTAGGTCATGCTAGCCCTTGCTAATAATAGGGTTTTCTTTTTAGATTGTTACGACGCTCTCCACGGAAGAATACAGTTTTGATGATAAAGAAAACAAGGTAAGAAATATAAACAAATGAATATGCACTTACTAGTGTGTTTTTTCTTATATATTATTTTGTGATGATTCTTGATATTCGAAATATAGAAGTTTGATTTGTCCTTCTAAAGTAGCTGATCCATGGAGCAGCTGTTCAACCTTCTTTTCTCTGTAGGTCAACACCCCTCGTCGTTCACCAAGAAAAGCAGCAGATGGATTCCCAGAAGACAACATGGTAATACATTTTTGCAAATGTTTAAAATAGTACTTCCCAATTATATATGTTATAGATATTTATCTGCTTGATTCCAGTTACTCCCGTGTAGAAATATGTACTAGATATTATGTAGTTTATAATGAAGTAAAAAAGAAAAAAAACAACATAGTTGTATGCTGTTTATTGAAATTTTTTAGCTTTCTACACAGTGAAATTATAATCAAATCCATATATGACAGAATGGTACACCAAGAAGATCTCCAAGGAAGCCGATTTCTGGCAGCACCCCACAGGGATCACCAAGCAGAGCACTGAAAAGGTCACCCAGTAAAAGCAGCCCACAGAAAGGGAAATTCTTTTCAATATTTGATCCCAAGCGTCGGCTCTCTGACAAGGTCTCTGTAGCAGATAAAAACTGTAAACAAGTAAGGATTTTTCTTTTACTTTTCAGTAGTCTTAGGTATAAAATTTGAAAGGACATTGTGAAATATGCTTTCATTGCATATCCTATTTGTTGCTGTTATTACTATTTGATTTTATTTGTGTTCACCAGAACTGTTGGGAAGAAGGTCCCACTGAGAAAAAGTGATGGATCCCAAATGATGATGATGCAGGACAAAGGAGTTTGGGGCCAAGCAGTGCAATGTCTGTGGCATTATATATGAGATTGGCAATCCTGAAGATGAAGCTTCTCATGAGGAGCATCATAATAGCTTTCTCAACACCCTCAGATATATTGTAAGTTGTACTTTTATTAACTAAATTTTTATATATGTGAAATGTGTATCTCTCTTTTTCTCTCTCTCTCTCTCTCCTCTGAATGATTTGATGTTAATGTTACCATCTTTTTGTAATCATATTTTGTAAGAAAGGAGGGAGTGTTTTCATACTAAGGTGTGATTAAATATTGGTATGGCAGTAGTGATTGTTATTATTATTATTACTATTTCTGTTATTAATGATTCCATCCAAATAATTGCTGCAACTGTTTTCATAATTTTCAGGGATGGAAGAAGGAAAGGCTAGTAAGGGACTTGGATCATCATGGAGGAAGGGTCATTATGGTTTCACCTACAGACCCTCAGCATTGCTGGCGTAAAGTGGAGGAGATAAGAGAGATAGTTGACCAAGAGCTGGGCTTTGCTGAAAATGGGATCCGTGTGAAAGAAAACACAAAGGTCTTCTTTTATGTTCTTGAGAAGAAAATTGTTGGCTGTCTTATTGCTGAGACCATAAGGGAAGCACACAAGTGATCCCAGAGATCACCCATAAGAGGGGGAGGCCAGTTATGTGCTGCTCTGAAAAACGGTACAAAGTATGGGCTGGAATTAGCAGGATTTGGGTATTAGCTTCAGAAAGAGGGAAGGGCATTGCCTCAACATTGGTTGATGCAATGAGAAGTAACTTTCTCACCAGCCATTTCCTGACTCTAGATGAATTTGCTTTTTCTGATCCCACTGAGAGCGGAATGGGCTTTGCTGAGAAATACACTCAGAGAAGAGATTTCCTCGTTTATCGTCGTTAGTGTTAATGTGAACATTTTTTAGTTTATTTGAAATGATAGATATATGCTTGTGTTATATTTATACCGAAAATATTTTGAGATAGATATTTTTATTTAAATCATACTGTACTGTTCTTCCTCAGTACTTTCTGCAGTGCAAGGAAATTAAAAATGTTTTATTTTTTATTACATTTGTCTATGCATATACAAAGTGTATTTTAAGTTTGTAGGGTAGCTGTAAAAATTATATTAATAAAATGCTAAGTAAGCATTTATCCAGCTCTCAGACTTGGCTAATATTTTAAAAATAACCCAGGATTTGAGTTTCAAGAACAATTTTATTAATTTTTAATTATTGATTAAAAATACTATACTTTACCATGTCTTTCATCTTTACCCTTTTGAACATGATAGTCCAGGTGTATGACCATGCATGAATAAATACAATAGAGTTTAGTAATACTTGCAGTTGGTTACAAAATTTGTGCACTTGAATTTGAATTGTTAGTGTTAAAAATAACATAGGTTTTGAAATTTAATAAGTCTCTTTATGATTCTAATATGATTTACAATACTTTACCATAATGCTGTATCAAGCACATTTATTTGTTTAACCAGTAACCACTGTGAATCAAGTTCCCAAATTACTAAAACTGGTGGAGATATTACAAAAAAAAACCTTAACTATTTTTTAGAAACACTTGTAAAATCAGAATGCTTTTTTTTTTTAATCACATATCTTATAAAATTATGAACTTGAACATACAGAATGCAAAGCAAGTGATCCTTGATAATGTATCAACAATCAGAACTGAAAAATACAAAGTACAGACACATGCTACTGCAGGCACACTGGGTCTTAGAAATGCAGTTCTAATTTTTGCTGTCATATCTTTTGATATACATCAAGTCTTACTGAATCATCTAGCATTTTGTAAGTTCTTTAACAATTCAGTGGAATGCAATACCATGTTTTATGGTAAGCTATTTGTAGTTTTGATACACAGGAGTGAAAAGATAAAGCATCTGGCAAGAAGACAATAGCATTACTATTACTATGTTGGTCTTTCTACACCTCTATTATGTTATTATCAGGGAGAGACTACAGGGTTTTAAGTGAAGAAGGGGAGGAGGATGGGGTGAACACTACAGTAGAGAACGAATGGAGATTGTATTGCCTAGTGGAGAGAGATGTCAATAATTATAAGAATGGGGAAGTGGAAGGGGTCTACTCAAGAAACTGAAATATGGCTTACATCTATTTCTGTATATACTTACTATTGTAAGAAAAAAATGGAGCAAAGTTTAATTAATCCCAGGGTCATTGCTGTTGTGTGTGTGTGTGGGGGGGGATCACCCCTGTCTTGGACCTTGACCCTTGCCTCAACAAATTTTGCATGGTCTTTTCTTCCTTTCCTTTTCTTTCTCCTCTTCATTCCCTTTTGTCTGTTCACATCCTAAAGTGTGAGAGATGTGCTGAGAGGATGAAAGACATACTCCATTTGCTATTTCCTCTTTATCCTTTTTACTACCATGCTAACTAACAGCACTGTACAACCTTTGACATCCAACATATTTTGTGCTAATCTCTAACTCTTTATTAAACTTTTCACTACAACACTTTATCATAGTGCTGTATGACCTCTCCTTACCTAAGGCTTCACTCCCCCAAGCCTCACCTTTTGCTATATTTTATATATGCCGCAAATGACCTTCGATGTTGATGCAGCAGAAAATTATAAATAAATATATCTACAGCTTATACCTTTTTAACAGCACTTGTCTTACAATTTGCTTTTGTTTCTTAAGGTTGCTTCAATGTGAAAAGGATAAAAAAGGGAAGAGCAAAAGGAGTACAAAAGTCATTTAGGACTGACACAAAGCTAGCTTATCATCCTTTTATCACAGCTTTCATGCAACTTTTGGCCTATGATAAAATTAAATAGTTTTAATGTACACCCCTTTTTTCCTTCATATATTATATCCACATAGGTGTTTTCATTTATTTTCTTTACTCAGAATAAGGGATGATATAGCTATGTGCCAGCTATTTTCATATTTGTGTGGAGTTTCTTCTATTGTCAACTCTCCTGGTGCTCTGCAAATTTACCAATGTATGAAAAGGCTTTGTAAATTTAATTCAACTCGGCCTTCCTTCTGAATAAGTTTGGTATTCTGAAGAAAAATAACGAAGTACAAATACATGATTTCAAGGTAATGCCAACTATTTTACACATTTGACAGTTCACACACGCACAAAAGTAGGGCTTTTTTTGTAAAGAATTGATGATTTATGTGTGATATTTCCAAAAGTTAACCCCTACAATCTGGATGATGTCATGTCAAAAAACAAATTGGCTAGAGTGAAGGGTGACATGGACTTGCGGTCATGGAAATTTTGGCTGAAGGCCAAGTTCCTGTCAAGAGAATTTCGGCTGAAGGATAGGGTGATGGAAATAACTAACCACAAGTGCAAAAACTCTTGGAGGGTGATTAGACTCAATGGGCATTTAGAAAGGGGCTTTTGCATTACTTCCATCACTAAATGAGTGTGGAATGTACCATCCGTGAGCCATGACTGGAAAAGCGCTGGCTCCAGAAAGGATGCTATTTCCATGCTCAGGATCCTATTCCTGCCTGCTATGACCAGCAGTTCAGGTTGTATTTCACAAAATTGAATATGGAAAAGATTAAAAATTGCACAACTAACAAACTGTTACTTATTATTACTGCACTGAGAGATGATATTGGGTATGTGTAAACAGGAAAACAGTCTATCATCATCTGGATTAAGCAAATCAAATGATAAATATAGACTGTAAAATGGCACAAAAAAAAAACATGTTCACAGAAAGGAGAAAATAACACTGCAAAGGTGAAGCATGGAGTCTTGTTACCATATAGTGTTCATGTGTGCCTGGCCTACAAGCCACACACTTGCCAGAGGCCCCTCAAGTAAGCCTAATGTCCATATTTTGGCTACAAAATGACAGTGAAGCATCCGGATCCAATGGGTTAAGGGTCATTTTTGATACTGAAGTTCCAATCACCTGACATTACACATTGCATATTCATCCTTGGGGCCTTTTTACATTTCTTCCATATGCAGCACTTGAAGATAGGGATTAGAAAGGAGAGAAAAAAATGCTTTTTGATGTTTTATTTCATGACATGTTGACTAATTTGCTAATAAACAAAAGTATTATAATACTTTATGCTTAAACACATTCATCTCAAGATTCTACAGACAGAACATGGAATGAAAGTATGGAAGCTTGAATAATTCAGAGATTCTCTGCTTTTTCAGCAGTTGCAAAGTTAAAATAAACCCAAACTTTTATACAATTTATGCAAACTATGACACTTACAGATGGATGCTTACTCTCTCCAAATACAAAGTAAAAAATATATAATAATAATAAAATAAAATGAAATAAATAAATAACAACCATACATTCATTCTGAAAATCTCCATAAATCTAGTCCTTTCCCAATGACCTAAACCTGTACTGGAGGTAGTCTCATTCACCATTCTTTCTGAGAAGTTCAGCTTGCATTCACAATTATCAAACTAAACTAGTTGCCTCTTCCAGTGATTACATAATACCACTCTGCATACAATAATTCTTTATGCACTTTAGTCTCTCATCTGGAATGATTTCACATAAAATGCTGTTATTGTTTTGTAAAATTCATTCTTTACTTATTTTTCCTGTCAATTAGAAGATAAATTTGTGCTCTTACTTATTAGCTTTTACATCTGCCTTCAATAATTTTTTCAATTTTGCAATACATAAATAAAATTTAAAATGTATCTAAAATTAATAATACAAAAATAAAATAGCAGATGAACAACTGCTTTGTTTATTATCAGTTTCTTAAACTTTTTATTCACCCTTTCTACCTTCTCTTATTCAGTCTAATTAATTTAAACATAAAAACACCAGTAAAACTATTTATTACCCCTGACTGTCTACGGTGACAGCATGAAATATACAGAAACTTTACTAATCATCATGAAAGTATTTCTGCACCAGACTTTCTTGACACTATCTTAGAAGCAATAGTTGTCTCTAACCTATACCTCTGCTACATGAAATCTGTTATTACATTTTTTAATGCCACTGGCAAGTCCCCATGCCTTAAAAAAATATCCGAAGGTGTATTTACTTAAAAAAAAAAAAAAAAAATCAATTATATTCTACACAGGCAACCTTAATGCTTGCAAGTTGCATACCAAATTAAACTGATAAATGTGCTCTCTTTCTCTTGAGCATAAATCTTCATACAACTGGTCTACTTCAAGTGATGGCAAATTTGAACAATTTCACCCATAAAAGAGATCTTCCCCCGAATCTTTTTTTCTCACACTCCTTTCTTGCATCTGCAACCTGATGACACTTGATCACTTCACTGGAAAAAATACACAGAAAAAATGAAAAATAATTCATTAGCCAAGTCTCAAATTCAAGAAAAAATTGTTACTCAAGGAGAAAATAAATTTGTAATAAAATAAAATAAAACTTTCCTCAGATGTAACATACAAAGTGAGCTTTGGTGCATAAATGAAAAAAAAAGAGGGCCACTTACTCACAGATATTTGAGTTAATTTTTGGCTACAGTAATTTTCAATAAAGGAATAATAATATAAAAAAGCTTACATTAAAAGACGTCTTTCTTCTTTTCTTTTTACTCTTAAAATAAGAAGACAGTTTAAAACTGCTGAGCCAAGCCAACATCTTTCCTACTCCGATTTCTTTCCCATTGGAAATGGCACGGCTCTCCGAATAGCATTATACCATCATAAGTAATAAATCATTTAATCAATCAACCTTGGTGTCATCTTCAGGTCTCAATGATAACTCTCACTCTACTTCCTTCTTACTCACGTCATCGTCATCATCATCATCATCATCATCTGAATCATCGGCATATTTCACTCTTTTCTTTCGTCCTCTCCCCTTGTCTCCTTTGCTTTTCTTTCCCTTCTTGGGCCTTACTTCCTCCTCCTCTTCCTCATCATCGTCATCATCTTCTGCCAAAAAGCCAAACTCATTGACACATCTATTCCACTTGAATTACATATTGCTACATATTTCTGCAGCAAAGCAATACATGCCAATACACTAAGAATGGCAAAGACACAATGCCATGTCAACAGAATGACAAATAAACTTGTTTGGTTAAGTGCAAGTGAAACTAAAACTTTGAAATCAAATCAGATTTCAAATATCTCACCTTTCTAACAGATTCGTTTTTTTTAAGCCATTAAAACAAAACAAAAAGGTATATCACAGTATAAAATAATAAAATGAAGCCACAGCATCAGAAAGAGCACTTTCTAATAAATCTTAAATGGTCAAAAAAATAAAACAAACAAAAGAATAAATAATACAATTCAAAAGATAAATAAAATCCAAATAAGATATGCATTACTAGATAACATTCTTTCAAAAATCGTCAGCCCCACCTTCCTCTGGGAGGTTATCAGCCTCTGTCTCAATGCGTTCACGGGCATTGAGGAACACACTCTGCATGACTATGGAGTCTTCATAAATAATTGATGCTTCTTCGTTATATTCCTGAGCGTTGCGGCACAGAAGCATGAAATCACTCTCTACATCATTCAAGTCTTCATACTGAAAAGGTTGGAGTCATTAATGAAAATCACTCATACTGTGATAGGAAGAATGATGCAAAATGAGAAAAAATGTAAAAATTAAGTTTCACAGAGTTTAAGGGGGGAAAAAAAAAAAAAAAAAAAAAAAAAAAAAAAAAAATATATATATATATATATATATATATATATATATATATATATATATATATATATATATATATTTTTTTTTTTTTTTGGGGGGGGGGTCAATTTGAAAATTGTAAATTATGGTAGAATCAAATAAATACATTTTTTCTTAATGAACAATAGTAACTGTGAAACAAATGCAATACAAATGAGGTGTCCACGTGACACACATGTGAACCAAAATCCAAGCTATAGTCTCACCCTTCCTTCCTCTATCTTGTTGAGTATCTTGCGAATATCCATGGGCCTCTTGATCACCTCGTAGTAGTCTGGAAGTTCCCTACGTGAAGGCAGCTTCATGAAGGGCTCACTAAGTACCCTTCCGTCACTGTGCAAGAGGAGCAATTGAGGTTAGTTGACAAAACCTGGATGTTCAGGGGAACTGATTTTTCTATAGCAATTTAGCATTTATCAGAGCACTGAACTATAACCTGACTTTAAATGTCTTGGACTTACCTAGAGCAATGTCACACCATAAAATAATTGCATGATCATTACTGTATGACTAATAGGTATGATTCCATCATGAATTTGTTAACAACGAATGATACAGAATAGTGAACTACCTCAATTCACATTCCAGTTTAATCTATAATCTTAGCCGCCAAAAAAGTATTTTAAAACTCATCCTAATTCACGGACTTGAATGACTGAAAATACATAAATAAAAATAAAATATATAAAATACAAAAATAATATTAATAATAATCCATACAAACTCACCTCTTTCCCGAACTATTTGTCCTAGTCCTAGAGCAAACATGAAAGCATAAATGGAGAGGGCTTTGAAAGTGCACACCAAGACAGAGTTCTTTATTTTCTTTCGTTTGTTTTTGATGAGCCTGTAGACCAACTATCTCAACTACAGAAATTCAGTAACCATCCAATCAAAAACAGCTGCATGGTTACCCCAAAACACTTAAAGACCCTTCTCCTTCATGTAGTACACAACAGTGTTAACACACTCTAGGAATGGGACAAAAGTCCATTACTTTATAATAGAAACAGTTTTACAAAAAAAGAAAATTTACAAGAGACTTGAGCACTACTTTCTACCTGTATGGTACAATCTGAAGTCATGCATATATATATATACACACAGTATAATCTTTTGAACTCTTAGAAAGCCTGGCAGAAACTTATGGTGCAAGATACAATGTTTGCAGACACTTACATACCCATATGCCAAAATGCTTAATAATCCAACACTTATCATAAACAACTCTTATCTACTTTACAAAATACACAGCAGAGCACAATCCCTAACTCCAGGTAGCTCTGAATGAGAGAATTCCCGAACACGTGAAAAATGTCTCATACCAAGTGAATGCAAGAGGGCCTTTACCTGTCTTCATATTTGATGACTATGTCCATCAGACGCTTAAGCTGCTTAATCAGTCGTTTGTTCTTGGGGCCAGGTTTCTCCCTCGCCGGTCGACCCCGTTTCTTGGGCTTAGGGTCATCATCATCATCATCGATCCTCCTTCTCTTGCCCTTGGAACCACGCTTGCTCTTGCTTCCATTGGCCTCCTCTTCGTCATCATTCTCCATTGCCTGAAAAGTCATGTACCAAGTAAACCTCTGGTCTCAGATAACAAAACCTTCTGAATCATAAGAACACAAAGAGACTACTTCTGGTCATTCTGTATCATTTCTATAAAAAGGAATCTTGTATACCTGCAAGCCAAACCAATACAAAGGCAAAGCACACTGCTACAAATAAAACAGTAATATTTACTATGTATTAGTAGTCACACAAAGTATTGCATTAATATTCATTATTGAAGACTAAATTCAACACAGATCACATTCCTTCAATATAATTTTCATTCAGCTTCTAAAAGTGCTTTTAACACCAAGATGTGGACCATTATTCCATCTCAATGCCAATTAGCTATCTGAGAGCAGATTAAACTACCTTTTAGCAAAAAAATCAATCTAAGACTAGAAAAAAGTGACTTTTCTTCAAGGTGATATCAAAAGCTTTTATATAATAAGAGATAAAGAAATGGTGAAGGAGAAATAAAATCTACAACGCATTACTTTGGTAATTACTTCAGTCAGCAGTAAGACGTGCTTCTTGGCAAAAGGGATTAAACAAAAGGTATCCTTTGTAGCATCCTGAAACCCCCAAAACTTTGATACTTTGTTTGATGTTGGCTTGTGGTTGCAGCAAAACATGAGTTTTTCACAAGAGATCAAAATGTGTTCTGATAATTTTTTTTTGAAGAACAATAAAGTTTTGGTCTTTATTTCACATTGAGAAAAATCACAAAAAACATTACACTAATCAAAATGGTGTTCTTTTTTTTATTAGTAGCAAGAAGTATGTAAGCTTTATAATAAAGTTTTAAAAAGTATCTGATCAGTCAATTACTTATACTGCTTATTTACAAAACACTCTTTGCTTTGCAAAGCTGTGAAAACTTTCAAATGTATATCACAGATTCAGACTTTTTTTTTCTCTCTCTCTCATACTGTACATCCACCTTTTTTTCTGAAGTCAATATCACAACACATGACCAAAACATGTTATAAATTCTTACCATGTTGTTTCAGCAACTTTCATTAATGACTTCTGATTTTACCGATATGGTGCCAACATGTACTCTACGTCCAAAATGGCTTAAAAACATTTTCTGCATCTTCATATATGATTTTTGTATCAAGAAATATATAAGATTCATAATTAATGAAGATATAAATCCCTAACTGTGACTTGCATGAAACATACTAAAAAGTATACGGCTCTTATTGGCCGACTGGAGTGTATCACATAGTTTCCATCTGGAGGCTCGCATAAAAGATGTCTCAACAAGTTCTAATATGTGCATGTAAAGGAAAAACAAGTCTGAAGATACATTAAAGTTTCTGGGGTTTGGGGGATGCTACAAAAAGAAAGGCTTACAGCAAAGCATTATGTAAACATAATAAAATCAAATATCAAATGTAATATTCATTATAATAATAATAATAATAATAATAATGATAATAATAATAATAATAATAATGACAATAATAATAATAATAATAATAATAATAATAATAATAATAATAAAAAATAATAATAATAAAAATAAATACAACTATAATAATAATGATCATAATAACTATAACAATAACAATAATGATGATAAAAATAACATCAATAATAAAAAAATAATAACAATGATAATTATAATTACAACAACAATAACTATGATGATGATGGTGATAACAAGAATAAATAATAATACTTAATTACAAAAGTAACAATAATAATAATAATAATAATTAATATTGATAATAAAATAAAAACAATCACAAAATAAGAAAAAACACTCAAGTCAATTCATTCTCTGTAACAGCTTGAACATCCAGATCCTGTCAAAACTCTCTTACCTCTTTCCCATCCTCTTCTACTGCCTGCATGGAACAGAAATCAGTATTCTAAATATACTGACCAAAGTACGAGCGCAAACATTGTTTTCCTTTCCATCTTTCCCAATCCTCTCACTCATCTCTCAAACAGTTCATAAAACATTTCATTACACAGAGCCAATGCACATGAAAACTGTAGGTCAATGTCATTCCAATTTGATCATGATGCACTTGCCGAAGCTAACCTTCAGGTCTCGAGTGTAGGCTCAAATAAGGGAATGTGCATCCAAAGGATTCCTCAGACCAAGTGCTTGAAAAAAATTGGTTTATTAAATGTTTTATTACTTTAAAAATTCTTCTATAAGATAAGCTTTAAAATCTCATAACTGAAGTGCATTAACGTACAAATCGATGCTTCAGGTATATATGAAAGCTCAAATTAACCAAATAATTCTTAAAAGCATTTTCAAGGACTTGGCCCAAGAACACTGCACATGCCCTCAAATAATACCTTGTATTCTCCTTCATAATGTAAATAAATATGGATCATTTAACAAAGTAGCAGACCATCATCCATGCACAAAGCATTTGGCAAACACTCACCCCAATAGCTCGCAACCACTCCTTCTCTGTCAGGCTGTCAGAATAATCCACCTCCTTCTTGGTTCGGGCTCGGCGGTCTCCCAACTCCTCTTGTTCTTCCTCTTCCTCTTCTTCCTACACAATGGAGGGGAAGCAGTCTTAATCCCATAACTTTTTATTATTTGTGTAAGCATATATTTTTAAATGATTATACGTAGAAGATGAACAGGTATACATAGTTCAGTTCTTAATCACTGCAAAGGATGTTATCAATTTAATGCTAGATGTACCTTGATTCTTGTTTCTCCTTATGAACTTGTGAAAATACACTGATTCTAGATTCACTGAACTTATCAGTGTTATTTTAACCCTAAAAGAATCATGCCAACTATATTCCGAGTTAAATTTTCAAAACTTCTCTTTGTCCTAAAACACCATAATAGGCTTTCCCCTCTTTTTCTGTAACTGTACCTCTCCCATTCCCGTTTCAAACCCATTTCATTTAAATAAACTCACAGTATCTTCCTCCTTCAACATCCATTCTGGCAGTTCATCTTCAGCCATGAGGCGAGGCTTGTCTTCTGTCACCCTCCGTTCTGTATCCAGTTTTTGGAAGATTTCGAACTCCTCTTCACCACGAGCAATCATCTGGTTCACTGTCTCATCATCTGGGGCTTCATCTTCTTCCTGAAAACAACAAAAAATAAAATTAAAAGTCAAGACCTAGGGCAAAAGGATATCAAAATTGTTTCTCAAATTCATTTCGTTAGATATATTTTTTGATATGTGTCCTGGCTCTCCTCCCTTACCTCTTCCTCTATGGTGTCATTGGAGAGAATGGCTTGCAGGAACTGCCGACGGTCTGATCCGGTAGACTTTTGATCGAACATACCAGCCTGGATGACCTTCTCGTCCATGTTGAGTTTGTAACGGGCAGCAGCCAAGATACGCTCTTCCACAGTGTTTACAGTCATCAGTCTCAAAACTCGCACCTGGGTGGAAAGGAATTATTGAGGAATGAATGAGAGTGAGTGAGTGAGTGAGTGAGTGAGTGAGTGAGTGTGTATGTGTATATGTGTGTGTGTGTGTGTGTGTGTGTGTGTGTGTGTGTGTGTGTGTGTGTGTGTGTGTGTGTGTGTGTGTGTGTGTGTGTGTGTGTGTGTGTGTGTGTGTGTATGTGTGTATTTACATATATTTATAATATGAATATATATATATATATATATATATATTATATATATATATATATATATATATAATATATATATATATATATATAAAATATATATATATATATATATATATATATATATATATATATATATATATGTGTGTATATATATATATATATATATATATATATATTATATATATTATATATATATATATATATATATATATATATATATAACATGAAACCTCCAATGCAACAATCAATATAATCAAAGTAAAAGTATCAATAATAATTACTTCCAATGATAGGGTATACAAGAATCAATAAATGAAACTGACTATAATGGGGGCGAGACAAAAAATTCTTACCTCATTCTTCTGGCCAATACGATGGGCTCGATCCTGGGCCTGGAGATCCTGATGAGGATTCCAATCAGAATCAAAAATGATTACAGTGTCAGCAGACTGAAGGTTGAGACCTAGACCACCAGCTCGAGTGGATAGCAAGAACAAGAAGAATTCCCGAGACTCGTTGAATAGTCTCAAAAGCTCTCCTCGGTCTTCTGACTTTGTCATGCCTGTCGGGAAGAGACAAATCATTTACATATGCTTCCCTTCATTCTTCAAAAAATCTTCACAAAATTGCAATCATTCTCAACAACTAAACTGAATTAGCAATGTGACTTTGTTTTATAAGGTATAAATAAAAATTTCCCTCTTTTCTGCCTTTTTGCCTTAGACAAATGCTCTTCCTACACTGATGAAAACTTACCGTCAAGTCTCAGGTACTTGAAACCCTTGAACATGAGGTAGTCCTCCATGATTGTCATGAGCTGGGTCATCTGACAGAAGAGGAGTACACGATGACCGGTTGCCTTCAGCTTGGGCAATATACGGTCAAGGAGCTCAAACTTGCCAAAGATGCTCGGTACAGGTCAGGTCTGGGAAGAAGTAAAAAGGTAAGTTATGATACATTGTATCTACATATCAAAATCTGACAATGTTTCCTGCCATTGTTAGTATAATTTAAAGAACAACTATAATCAAAATGATTCACTTGCCATTTAGACTAATAATATTGGACTCAACTACTCATATCTAAACACCTCTTATCAACCCCCTACCTCAAGCATTTTATACTCATGAATAACTCATCACTTTGAACTTCCCAATGAAAGTTAACTATCATATCAACTAAGACATCAATATAATTAAGTGCTTAAAAAATACGCAAAAAATACTTACCCCTGAACAATGCCACCGGCAAAACCAATATGATTGCAATAAGCTTCCTCAATGTGCTGGAACATGAAGGGGTGGTTGCACAATTTACGTAGCTGCATGATGGTGTTCATGAGCGCCTTGGTGTTGCTCTTGTTACCCTTCTTATCCTCCGCACAGAGCAAGACACCCTTTGACTGCATGTGTCTGTACAACACATGTTGTAGCCCAGACATCTCACATTTGATAATGTATTCAACCTGGAATAAGAAAATTTTTTCCTTATTATTTTTCTTCACATTTCTTCATGAGAGACTGCCTGTGTATAGAGGATAAGCTTCTTTTCATTACACAATTTTTCACTCTTATAAAAAGAAAGAAAACAACTTATCTCCTGTACCAATCATTCAAAACCCTTCTAGAACACTCCTATTTCCAAGAGGCAAAATACAAACTATATATACATACCAACATATTCACTTTTCCCATTATATTCCAGCCATACAAAAAAAATCTTAATAATAAAAAAGAAAAGGAAATATCCATTTTTACCATACCTTGTCGGGCAGCTGTGCTTCGACCTCCTTCTTTAATCTTCTCAGCAAGAATGGCCTAAGGACCTTGTGCAAACGACGAATAATCAAAATGGTTTCTTCTTCGTTCAGTTCCACCTGAAAGAATATGCATAAACAATCAATGAAGAGCAAAAACATTATAAACATTTACATTGATAAATTACCTTTCATACATGACTATCCCTACACTTTAGTATAAGAATCTCAAGTCTTTACAGCAATCAGATGTCCCAAAATAACATTAGTTACGTATATTTGCAAGGATCTAAATAATAGTAAAGAAATGCTTGCTAAACCCAAAATCATAAAGACTTACCTTCTCACCAGTTGTAGCAAAGGGGGCATTAAACCACTGCTCGAAAGTGGAGCAAGACTTGAAGATAGATGGCAGGAGGAAATTAAGGAGAGCCCACAATTCTGGCAGCTTATTTTGGAGAGGTGTTCCAGTTAGCAGCAGACGGTGTGGCGCATTGTAGAATGTGTTGAGAGTCTGTAAAAAATATGTAAAAATATAATAATGTACTTTTCAAAATGCTCATTATACTAATTGTTATTTCTTACCTATGCTTAAGAGTAGAGTAATTCCTTTAACACTAAAAAAAAAATTATATAACTATGTACCATGTATATATACACAAGTACAAATTCAGGCATGTTACCCTTTTTATGTAATACCTGATCTTTTATAACAAGCCAGAAGTTTAAAGAACAGAGAATAGTTAACAAGGACCAAAAATCCAGAAGTTACTTACTTGTGTCAGTTTACAATGATGGTTCTTCATTCTGTGACCTTCATCAATAATCATGTATTTCCAGCGGAGTTTGGAGAGCACAGCTTTGTCCTTGATAATATACTCATAAGTAGTAAGCAAGACATTCAGCTTTGTGGCTCTCATCTGACTTTGGACAATGCGGCGCACTTGAGGTGATCCTTTGTACACAACCACCTGCAAAACAAAGTCAATGAGTAACACTAACATCTTTGGTAGAAGGTATCTTTCAAAAACATTCTCTTAGCTAACTTTATGCTGTACTAAATTTGAGTTATAATTGGTAAAAATTTCTACAGATTACCTTTCAACTGCAGTAGTGTACTTTCAATCCTTATCTAAAGACACTTGATGTAAATGCATTAAAACTCAATCAAACTCTTACAAGTAATAAAACAAATATATGCACACAGCATTACTGACCTGTACGGTTGGGGCCCACTTGTCAAACTCAAGAGCCCAATTAGAGATGGTGGAGAGAGGGACAATAATAAGGTATGGCCCATTGTTTTTCTTGGTTTCAATCAGGTACGTGATAAGGCCAATGGTCTGAATGGTCTTACCCAGACCCATTTCATCAGCCAGAATACCATTCAGGTTATTGTTGTACAAGGATACCAACCACTCCAGACCCTGGGAAATCACATAATCATATTAGCAACAAATAAAGTAGAGCAATCATAAAATATCTTCCTATTTAAAATCTGTTTTACATGCAACATTCAAGGTAATATGTACTCACCTTGATTTGATATTCCTTGAGCTTGCCATTGACCATGATAGTGGCTTGCTCTTTGACCGTTTCCTTGATGGTATGTGCAATGGAATAGTAGTTCTTTTCTCCTGTGACATCCCTGTATTCATCATCCTCCACTTTCTTGACATCTGGCTTAGTTTCCCCTTCAGGTGCCTTCTCCTTCTCTTTCTCTTCCTTCTTCTCTGCTGGAACAATATTTATTTATGACACTATACAGTAAATATTCCAATGATACAGTGTACAATAATTTAGACCTCTAGATATTCCACATCTGACCAATCATAAAGATATAAAACCAATTTAAATGCATAAAGAGAAAAACAGGAAAGTAAACCACAACAGCAATCTGCCACATATCATCACAAGACTCCCCATGACCCATCTCCCAACTCCTCTACTCCTACCTTCATTATCCATCTTCTCTTCCTCTTCATCAGACGACTCTGTGTCCTCTTCAGGCAGCACCTCCCAGCCAGGGTTGGAGGCCAAGAACACCTCTAGGGTTGCTGCTGTTGGTGCTTGCATGCCACTCATTATTGCTCCCGTGCGGTCTCAATAACAGGGATACGTGTCTGTTGAGGATCTTCCCCTTCAGCACCAGAAACCTCTCTGGCTCGCCTCCTCTCTTCACGCTGTTTGAACAGGAAAACAAGTGTTAAAAACCATGCGTTGAAAAGCCAGTAAATAGCATGAATTGATGTGCACACTTATATATATGTGAATTATGTTATACAAGAGAAATGATACCCGAAAACCTGGCTTGTACGCAATAAACTACAAAGTTGCTAAACTAGTGCCTCCAACATACCGCTTTCTTTCTCTCCTCTTTGTGCTTGAGACGCTGATCTTCCTTGTGAGCCTTGACCATCTCTGTCAGGTTGGCTATGAACTCGTCCGTCTGCGTGAGGAGGTAGGCAAGACGCTTATCCTTCTTTTCGTCAATGAGCTTACGGTAACCTTCTTCATCCTCCAGCATGAGGCGGCGCAGACGTTCTTTCTCTATACGCTCCTGTTCCTTCTGCTTTTCCCTCTCGGCATTCATGTGGTGCATCATCAAAGCCTTGTTCAGCTTGCCAATCTTCTGGTTGTTCTGGCGGTGGAATTCCCTGCAAGGATGGGGATATTGTAGTACATGATAAGATTGATGTCATTAAATAAGAACTGATTTTCATAAATTACAACAAATTCCCTTTTACTAAAACAGAGACTTAAACTTTCCCCCCTTCCGTTGACTTACTTGAGCTCCCTGCCATGCTGCAACACAGCATTGAGGTACTCCTGGTGTTTCTGCCTCTTCTTGCGTTCAGCCTCCAGCTTCTGCTGCTTTCCAGCTTCTCTGTGATGCGGGCCTCCCTCAGGCCTTGTCGCTTGTTCTCTTGTATGCCTTGATATTGATGGCTGTTTCCAATGTTGTATCCTTCCTGTTGCAACTTACCACCTACGAAACGAGTAACACACGAAACCATTATAAAACATTACTGCACTAAGGAAAATTATCATACAGCATTTTAGATAAAGATTTTCTTCTAGGAGAACATAATCCGAGATAAAATTATGATTAAAATTATCCCCGAAAGAAAGTTACAACTTTTAATCATATACACAAATAATCGCAACCCTCACCTCAGCTCGTAACTGTCTTTGGAAGTTCAGGAGCCTCAGTGCACGAAGTTCAATCTGTGCTTTCATTTTCAAGTCTTCTGCCATTGTTGCAGGGAGACCACTAAGTTCATCAATACGATGTGCTACACGTGCAGCCAACCTTAAAAAGAAAATGAACACAATTTCATCTTTAATTATACTATTAAATCTATTATATTCTGGTGCATGTGCATGTGTATACATGCATACAATTA